GACCGAGGGTCACGGGTAGCGCCCCTCAGGGCGCTCTGGGCGGGAAGGCGGGGCGGTGCTGCGGGAGACGGGGCAGTCGTCCCTGGTGGGGGCGGTATTCTGGTGCCTTTCCATAAAACCGCTGTTGTGTGGGCACAGCCACAGCTTCTCCTTTTACCGGGGCTCTGAAAAGTGGGAATGTGTTTTTTTTATGGTAGCTATATGGAAATCAAGTTGCTTCAGTATGAAAGTTAAGTAGTATATGCAAGTTGTTTCCTGTGACTTGTTACGTTAACTTAAAACGTGCTAAACTTTCTCCAGTAAAAACTTGGAACTAGCATTCAACAGTTTCAAAATACCCATTTTTTTTCCTCAAAAGCAAGGAAAACAGTTGAGGTTACTAAAGAGATTATTTGCTGTGCCACCAGTAGCTTGAAGTAGAGTGTTACTTCTTTTCTGTGCTGTTTTTTACCAACTAAAGAGGATTTTGGGGGATGCAGCACAGCTGCTGGAGCTCAGGTCTGATGTGGAGTCGGTTGGGTCTGTGCTCTTCAGCTGTGCATGCTCTGTGGTAATGGCAGGAAAAATCAGGTGGTAGGTGCAGGTGTGTTTCTTGGACAGGGTCTTCAGTTATTCACAAGGTGATACTGCACAGGAGGTGTAATTTAACTTTTTATTGCAGGGTGGGGCTTTTTTCAGTAATACTTGTTCATTTTTTTCTTTTAGTTGCAAATATATTGTGCTCTTGCATGATAGGAGACCTTTTGTTCTTCAGGATAGTGACTTTGGTGACTCCAAAGGTGTGTCCTGCTGGGATTCAGGTGTTTTCGAGGTGGCATTAAATGGTTTTCTGTTGAGTTGCTGGTCACAGTTCCTGAATGAAGATGTCAAAAAAGATGCTTTTTAATAGCAAGATATAAAATCTAATTCTGTGTTTATTTTGCTTAATAAGATAGTATATTTGATGGTTGTTGTATTTCTCACTAGTATCTTCACGTCTTTTGCATAAGGATAAAAGGTGTTCACAGATTTGTGCCGTGTCCTTCACAGTCATTTCTGGTGTCTGCGCAGCGTCAGGTGGGGAGAGGGCAGTCCTGGTTATGTGTAACTGTGCATAAACATTTCTCCTTTTCTTTAGCTAGCTGGAAAATCTGCAGCCTGAGATTAAAACGCTCGCTGAGCGTCTTCGCTATGAAGTTGCTGTGCGTGCAAAGCAAGTGGGTTGGTCTGAGAAGGCAGCCAGGTAAGAGGACGATTGTGTGTACATTATACGTCCATTTTGGGCTGGGCAGGGGGCAAAGGGAGGGGAAGTCCTACAGGCAATCTTACAGACCGATTCTGCTGTTGAGCATCACGTTGTGAGATGCACAGCCTGTGGAATTGTTATTTCAGACTGTGAGAAGTTCCCCTATAACAGGTCTTGTAAGAGGATTTTCTTTGTTCTTTCTGGAAGGTTCCATTTCAAGAAGAACCTGCGGAGGATTATCACAGAGCTGTACGTTCGAGACAACTGCCATCCCTTCAAGGCCACACTCCTGGTGTGGGTGCAGGTCCCAATGTGGGTTTGCGTCTCCCTCGCCCTGCGCAACTGCAGCGTCGGTGCCGTGGACTCAGCAGGTGAACAGAGTTGCTCTTAACAGGCGTTTTCCATTCAGTTACTGGCTTTACAGGCATTTTGTTGGTTAAATAACACAATCTCCTGAGTTTCATATATAAGCTGATCAAAAAACACCCAGAGCATCAGTCACCCCTGTTTACGTGCTCCCCACATTTGTAATGGCATTGTGAGCTTTGTGGGGTGCCTCTTTAAGAGCTCTGTTAGGGTCTGAGCACAACATTTTGATTGCCCATACGGGTGTTTAATTACTCTCTGGTCTTGTTATTGAATTTTGTGGTAACGCTGTGGACAGGGTTACTGGGGAAAGTGAAATCTGGCTCGGGATTTCTCTGGTTCACAAGGTAGGCGTATTTAGCAGGTAATATTTATTACCCATGCTGCAGTACATTTGCTGTTAATTTGTGTTTCTGTTTCTTTCATGTGAAGTTTCACGTGAAGGACTGCAGACAAGGTGAATGTGTGGGGTTTTTCAATAAAAATACTGATATTTTGGTTGTTTTAGAAGAGACTTTATAGTTTGTTTGTTTAAAAAGGTGACAAGTTATATTGTTATTAAGGAAAATGCAGCTATTTCAAAAACATAAAACACGTCGTCATTGTAGGTTGCTGCACTGTACATTTTTATCATTGGCTTGGAAAAGGGTGGTTCAGATCAAGGCATTTTTTAGCTCATGACAGCCACCAATTCAGATAAACCAGGGCTAAGGTGGATCTCGGTTTATATCTCCCATCATTTTTCACTTGTACTGGTAGCAGAATGCCATCAAATGTGATCTGCTAAGCCAAAGACTTCTGCTCTAAATAGTATTTATTATGTCGATAAAACACACCTAGAATCTGGGGTGGTTTGATTGCAGTACATGCTGTGGTTCTGACCTGAGGCAGAAAACGACCCTTATTCCTGTTTGTGTTTAAACTCCCGTGCAGTGCAGGAGGAGTTTTCGGCAGGGGGAGTGCTGTGGTTTACGGACCTCACGGCACCGGACTCCACGTGGGTTTTGCCAGTCGCGCTCGGGCTCGTGAATCTGCTGATAGTGGAGGTATGGCAGGGGGATAAAGAGGATTGAAAACAGGGTATTTCTGATGGGACGTTGCTCAGCTCCTTCACCGGCTTCCCTTGAGCCTCTGTAACATTCAGTCTTGACTCTGGAGCTTCTCCTAGGATGATTGAAGGAGCGTCCTGGCTTTGAAGCATCCCAAAGCACGTGTGGGTTTCATTGGGTTGGTGCGTCCTGGGATTATTTTGGAGGAAGAAAAGTTGCATGTGTATAGCCCCGGTTCTGCTTTGGTTCTGTTTGGGCTTCTTTCCTGTTGGGAGCCTTTCCTCAGAGCCTGTGCTTCAGGCTGGGGTCCTGGAGCTTTCCATACTCTATTGCCTTTCCATATGCTATTGCCTGCAGGTGGTTTAGTTGGGTGCTCTGCTGGGTTGGTACAATACTTTCTACATAGAACTGAACATGTAAAGCATCACACAGGTTAAATGAAAGATTGCAGCAGTACGTTAATGGTGAGAAAACAAAAAACATCTGAACAGGAGTGCTGGGTTAACGAGAAAGCCCCTGCTGTTGCTTTTTTTCTTCTTCTTTCCAAAAGATCTTGTTTGTAACTGTGGATTTCTCCCCTCTCAGATCTTTGCCTCACAAAAAGTGGAGGTTTCCAGGTTGCAGAAGCTTGTGACAAATTTCTTTCGAGTGGTGTCGGTCGTCATGATCCCTGTGGCTGCATCAGTCCCCTCTGTAAGTACGGAGCCTTAACAGCACGGCCGTTAACCTGCGACTCGGTTGCATTCCAGAGGAGCCCAAAGTCTGGCACATCTGATGGGCTATACTCTCCATTACAGAGTAATAATTCTAAATAATTCTAGTTCCTAACACATACGAAATAATTTTGTCCAAGAGGGAAGCATCTGCAAACTCACTGCTTCTGAATATCATCTTCACAAGCTAGGGTTTGGAAAGACATGCAGAGGGAGTTAGCATCCTTGTTGTCATCTCAAATACAGCATATAAAGGAAAACTTCATGTAAGGACACACAGATAAAGCTTTGCTTACTGTAAAGGAAACAGTGTAGTTTTTAGGTAAGCAAATATTCCATGATGGTCTTAAAATACTTCTAATTTTTATCAGATGTTCTGAGTATTTTTGCAGTCGTTAGCAAGAACACGGTATCTGGTTGGTTGACTCAGGAACTTGTGCAGAATACGGAGACATTTAAGCAAGTTTACTATGAATTGATTTACGAACTGTTGTCCAACTTCAGTGTAGATGACTTTTTTCCACCAGAGGAGTTGAGACAGAGAGAAAAATACATTTGAAATGGAAGCCATTATTGTTATTGAGAGGAGAGTTTTTAGGTGAGTTAATTCTCTCGGTAACCGGGAACGACCCGCGGTTGTGGTTCGCAGGGAGCGGCCTGAGCTTGTCGTGCGTGTGTTGCATCGGGTGTTTCTCCCGTTGCAGGCCATGGTGCTGTACTGGCTGTCCTCCAGCTTCGTGGGGCTCCTGCACAACCTGCTGCTGCGCTCGCCCACGTTTCGGCGGCTGTGCCGCGTACCAAGGACCACATCCGACTCGGCCACTCCGTACAGGGACATCGTGTCCGCCTTGGCGACCAGATACGGATTTAAGAAGTGATGTAGGTGGAAGAGCTGTCCCACAGCGGTTACATGGGTAATGAAGGAGTGGTATTTTATTGAGATGTGCTTATTTATTGTAAAGTGCTGCAGCTGGAATCACATTTGTTTTCCAAATAAAGCATTGACTGGCTGTACAGAATGAGTGTTCGGCACAAATGTATGTTTACTGGGAAGTTTCATTTGCAATTGGAATGTTCCAGTAATAGGAGCTTGTCTCCTGAGTTATCCCGAGGAATTGTGAATATTGAACTGTGACTCATCTGCTTGATCTGCAAACAACACGTTCTGGGGCGAGGGGCAAGGCTGCGTGGGCTGATGCTGTAGTTATTGCTTGATTTAATTAAGACTGTGGTGCAGAGTGGTTGGTAACGGGGTACAGTCATTCGATATGAAGGTGGTGCTCCTCATAACAGTTCTGAGAGCAGGTTTCCTGTAACTGCAGAGTAAAGGAGGTCATAGTCAGTTTTCTGTGCCTTAGCTTTGGAGTCATGAGGACAAGGTTCCTCTGTCGTTTCTGGTGATCACCATTGAGTAACACCCCTGTGCTCTGGAGATTTCCTTCATCTCCTGTGTGCACCCTTAACCCATTGACATGATAGACGTCCAGGAAGGCTGAAGCTGTTTTGTGGTGGTGACATTATGATTCTTCCTCTGCGTAAAGGTGCTCAGACGTTGCTCTGGTGTTTACTGCTGTTTCTGTGTTGGAAAAGAGATGGGTGTGGAGCTGGGGATGTGAGAGAACAAAATCCAGTCTGCTCAAACTAAAACTGGAAAGAAAATAAACCCTCATGAATTTACTTTTTAAAGTAGACAGGATGTGGAACTATTTAACCATTTATCACCTGGCTTTTAAAAAGACAGCGTTCTGGACCACTTCAGCCAAGGAGTTTCAGATTAGCTGACATCTGGTGAAATATGTGCAAGGCATACAGTGGTTGAGTATCTTTTTCATGGGATGGATACTATAAAACATAAACAGAGAGCATAGCAGAGTAACTGTGATGCATCACTGTGGACAGCATAGCACAGGTCATGGTTCAGAAGAGATTTATAAAACTAGGAAATCAGGTAGGAGTGCTTACTTGTAATGCATCTGTTACACAGAGAAGAATTTGCATTTCTTTGGCAATTCAGGATGCAGTCGTACCTCTGATTTCAGTCACTGTGAGAGGAATTTGGTTTCTTCGAAAGATGTCTCGGAGAAGGTGCTGATTTAACTGAGGTGGGTCCCAGAGGTAAAGCTCATAGGGCTCTGAGTGTTGGTTTTCTGCAGATCCGTAAGTTTTCTTGGAGCAAATAAACTGTCCCATGCATCTTGCAAAATATGAGGTGCACCTGTATATTTGAGGGGGAAGAAGAAGCAGAAAATCTGTGTTTTTCAGAACACTGTTGGGTTAAATGGAAAATTTGGTGTGGTTACAAGCTGACAATTCATACAGTTATTTCCCAAAAGACTCTGGCTCTAATAATAAGGAACTCTGTGGTGATTTTATTGTTCTTATTTCTGAAGTGTGTACCTGTTGTCCAGGCACAACGCAAGTCGATGTGATGCTCCAGCCCTAAACACAGACACTGGTTCTCGTGTCTGCCTTGCATCCCAGGAGCAGTGTGTCCTGCTGGTGGAAGAAGGGTCCTGCTCTTTCCATTTATTATTGTAGTTGACAGTGACTCGGATCTCAAATTTAGACATTGGGCTAAATTAACAGCGGCTGCCAAAGTACTTCCTGACAGGAAGTTTTCTGTAAAACAAGCTTCTAATTTGTGTTTGATTTCTGAACTGCAGTCAGTGGACCCTGCTCCGCAAAGTCTTTAAATTCTCTCAGTACGATCAGGAGCACTGGAGTTACTAAACTATTATTTGTAGCATTGAAAAAACTAGGAAAAATACCCATCCAAAAAGTAGAAGTGCATGCCATCAACCCCAGGAATATCTTAAGAACATGAAGTGGACCTTTAAGCGGTAGCATAGATAAGTAAAATTCAGGAGCTGCGTCTGCTCTACCATGTTAGATGAAAAGTTGGGAAAAAGGACTTAAATAATATCCCTGGCATGGAAGAAGATTCGTGGATTTTTAACCATAAAACTGCCTTGAAAGCTGTTGAAGAACAAAAGATGGGACAACTTGTAAAATATCTAAGTTAGGTATTTATAAGCATTTATAGAAGTACATGTTGCACCCTGGGTTAAAGAAATCCACATGTCCCGTAGATATTTTGGTCTTGTCTGAGCACCGGTACCATAAGTCCTTGGTGAGCAAGAGACAAGGCTGGAAAGGGGTGAAAAATCCTTTTGTTGTTGAGAAACAATGTATATAACTTCATACATTGCATTTAAACACAAAGGACCATGTATATACCTTCATAGATGCATTTATACACAAGGAACAACGTGTATACCTTCATACCTGCATTTACACACACACTACCTCCTGTCTTTTAGCCTCTCTCCATAGTTCCATGGTTTTAAGAACACAGTTGTGTGTTTGCTGGTTACTTCCAGATGAAAAGCAGTGTACTTCAATGACTTGAACACCAGGACTAGAGTATTTGTGCTGTCAGAGTGCACTAACTTCCAGATGAAAAGCAGTGTACTTCAGTGACTTGAACACCGGGACTAGAGTATTTGTGCTGTCAGAGTGCACTTTTTTTGGATGATTTTTGAGTTAAAAGTAATGCTGATATACTGAGTGGTGAATAATCGTGCTTGAGCCCTTTAAAGAAAGCTGCAATTGGTGTTTCAACATCATGAGACAAACAAAACAACAAGGCTGTGTTCTGTATAGTTTGTTCCCAGTTCTGTATTAACTGGTACTTGAATGCTTCTGGGTAGGGTGAGGCTCTAACACAAAACCCAAGCTTCTCATGTGGCTCAGTCCCAAGTGGACAGCCTTGCTTTGCAGGCACTGGTTGTACCCGGCTCACTGCAGGTGAGAGCTCACAGCACTTGCTGGTTTGTTAACGCCAAGGCACAACACGTGTGGTGGGTTTGTAGAATCCTGCTTGTCCTACAGTTACATTTTGGGACCTTGGCAAGCGTATTTAGACTCTTGAAAGGATGTCAACAATCAATTTTCCATAGAAGGACGTCAATCTGGTTGGTACCACTAACAGTATGCTGCAAGTTCTGCATGCTGTGTAGGTCTGTGCTCACACAACTAACTTTACAGACTGGAATTTTTTGACCAAAACCAGCAATTCTGGAGAAAAACCAAAATGCAGACGTCATTGTACTGGTAGTGCTGTGCTTGTACAGGTTTGGCTGGTTTACCCATGGGGATGCTTTTACTGACTGGTTATGAATCTCAGAACATCAGCACTATAGCTATATCTGTCTGCTGCCAGGATATTCTTACGCCAAATAAAACCCAGTGTGTATAAAATGAGAGTTAAATAAGTAGCAAAAAGTATCTAACAACTCCAAAACCAGGGGTAGGGAGGTCAGAGCTGATACACTAAAGCCCTTGCCAGGGTTGTATGAGATGTAGAGGGTGTTACAGACCTTTCAGAACATCCAGTTGTCGTTCTGTCTGTGCTGAAGGTATTGGTAAAAGAGGGTTTGGGAAGGTGGAGTGGGTTTTTGGCTGGTGAGCAGGGCGTAGGGGGAGCTGGTGCTCCGTGCAGCTCCATCCATCTGAAACGGGTTCCTGTTCCCAGCCTGGTAACAGGGCACGCTGGAGGTTCGAGGCAGGGCCTTAAACCAGATGGGTCTTTTTTGGGAGTGAAAACGTAACGTGGGGTATCTTGGGAAGCATAAAAAAGGCCTTGAAACAGATTGCTGAGAAATAATTCACGTGGATTAATAACTCTGACATGACACCAAATATTGATTACATAAAATTGGGATTATGTCTGTGCTGGAACAAGCAATGTATGGTATATATGCATAAAGAGAAGCAGCATAGTTAGTAGTGTTATGTACAAATATATAGCTACATGTACACCACACATTTTCATACATATATGTTCCTGTATGTGTGTAAGTGTGTGTATGCAGAAGAGCTGGCAGATCCTTGTCATGGTAAGGCATACGTCATGGCTGACCCAGCAAATATTACTGACGTACCCTGCACAGATCCTGTATGGAGCAGAGGTTGGAGCTTTATTGTCCACATTGGTTTTCTCTTCCAAAGCCATAATCCAATCTTGGGGGGTAAATGAACTTGTCTGCTGGAAGGAAATGGTCCCAGGGAGATGTTTCCTCTCGCCTTTCTGCCACCTTCTGAGTGAGCGACCTTGCAAGTGGTCGTGTCCTGTTAGAGGGTGTGCGTTCTGCAAATAAGCAGTGGAGGTGGATTTCCGGAGGAGAAATTGGTAAAACTATTGTGTTTTCTGAGAAACAAAACTGAAGTGTCCTGAAAAAGTCTGTATCGTATCCTTTGTGGTTAATACCATTGCTATTTAAGTAACGTGGTACGTAGCTCTGTTTGGCTTAACTGTTTCTTGACCTATTCTGCTTGCTTCCCATTCTGGCTTTCCTAAAACCAATAATATAAGTAAATTACCAACACCTGCTAGTAATGCAAGATTTGATATTTGAGAAAGGAGGGGAGAGTTTCCTTCTGCTTTTCCCTCTGGTTATTATCTTGAGGTGCTGTCAGGGCCATGAGTTGCATTCGAGACGCAGATGTCAGTGTGAGGTGGAGCCCCGTTCCCTGCTGCTGTTGGACAGAGAGTGGGAGACGCCGCCAGCCCACCTGGTTGGTCTCTGTGGCTGTTCTGGTGTGAAACCCACATTCTGTGGTCAAAGCTGAGTTACCAGGGTGGATTCCTTCAAGTGCAGGAATTTTGTTAAGGGTAAGGTGTCGTTTTTGGCACTCGAGTCCCATGGTTTCTGGAAAGCAAGAAGTGCTGAAGTCCTTTTGTCTGTGCTGCTGTACACAGGGGGGTGCTCAAGCTGTAGTTCGTGGTGTTGGCGGTTGGGCCGTCTGGGTTGTAAAATCTAGGGCAAGCAGGCAGGCCTGGGATCAAAACATTTCTCTTCTTCTGACCTTCATCCTG